TGACCGGGAAAGCAAAATTTTTAAGACTAGAAATTGCTTCGAGATACTATACTGTTTCTTCTGTCATTTGGACATTGGGAAAAGACTAAATCGAGATTTAAACCAAGAACAAAAAACTGAACGAATTTCGCTCTGTTTTGATCAGGTAGTATCTTTCATACACTAAAAATCAGAATTTGGATATTTAGGTGTATACCTATTAGAAAATACCTACCTGGTTTGGACATTCACGACCAGCATCATTCTATTACCCGCAAGGGCATACAGCAGATGTAATTCTAGTCCATATTCTATTTCCTTTTCAATAACTTGTGCTGTCCAAAACAGATAGCCCATAGTCGTTCTCCTCGCCGTAAACCTTTGTCCTCATTCTCAACTAGGTATGTTCTTTAATATTTTGATCATAGAAATACCTCTACAATTATTGTCGAAGCTATTTTTCATCCATTTCTGTAAATTGTGGATATGTTAGAAGTTTTTTAGTCCTCTGGTACTTTGGTTCTGTTTAAGTATTTCTGGAACAGATTTCGTATTCGACGAAATAGTTCTTGTATGTCAAATTTAATCATCATTTTGCCAGAATATTAGCTAATCCAGAAACGTTTTCGTTTTTAGATTTATACATGCTCTTAAACCTCTGTAGGTCACAACGATATCGGGGAGGCAGTAGTTTTGATCACTTCGGGATTATATTCTTCATGATCTGTTATTGGAAATCTAATATATATAGATCATTCTTTTCTCAATGTTCTTATACATTACCAACTCTCCATGCTTCTTTGACCCTAAGCTCGGTTTCCTCCACCCAGTATGGCGGTCTCCTATGGTTTTTTTTTCTAACGAACCCATTCCTTGATTTGCGGTTTGATGAATGCCTTTTTTGATAGTTTGGCATTCTTCATCTGGGTTTTCACATGGCTATGTTCTAATTTTCCTATTCATTCTTCTTTGGTACAAGTTCTTCGAGCTGTCGTGCTCTATGCTTTTCAGATTGTATCCACACTGGTCAAAATCAAAATCGGCGGTTGCCCATATTCCTAATAACAATAATTTGGGATTCACTAAACAATTTGGCTATTTTATTTGTACATACCTTTTTTCTTAACTATTTATCAATGTATGGATTGGATCGCCCATGTGTCATATCACGTCCACCAAAATTCTATTGCGGAAAGATCATTAAAGTAATTACTATTTTGAAAAAAAACCGCAGTGTTTTATTGCTGCTGCGATAACCACTAAACTGCAAGTTTCTTATCTCAGTTATTCAATTGAAATAATAGAGCATTAATCACAGACAATACTTACTAGTTAGTCATTGGTGTTAAACGCAATCCACCTTTGAAATTTTTAATTATTCGTACGCGAATATTGGTCCGCGCTGCATCTAATCAGAGCAGGTCACTTTAGTTTGACAATCTACTAATCAATCAGTCATTTGTTGTGCGCTGTTGAAGTAAATTTTCATAATGTGTATCATATTTGCGTTTAGAAGACTTATAAATTTGTGTGTGTGGCTGATTTGTTGTAGGAAAGAACAGGTGAGCAATCACCATAATATATATTATTATTAAACTTACTAAAACGATTCATCAATTATTTCTGAAGAGCGGGTGGGTGAGCCATGCTGGATAGTTTACCCGGTAACTGGCAACCCAGTGTTTATTTCTTAAATTCATCATTCAGTATTGAAAATATAGGCTAAAAATAACAATTTAAAGTGAATAAACTATAAATAATATAAAAAATTTAAATTGGTTATCCAGTCTTCCATCAAAGAACTGTAATGGTAATTTCATTAGAAAATATTTTGAGATACTTCTTTAAATTTTACTAATTCACCTTTGCATTTCGTTTTATTTACTTACCTTTTCTGTTTGTTTGTTCGTTAGTACATACTAGGAAGATTAGGCAATAATTGATTATTCACTCCCTTTCACTTGAAACCTTCTTTAAAATTTGATGATACACTGGGTACCTACCGATGGCAATGCAATGAGTACCTAATACGAAAAGAAGCATACAAAGATTATCACCGATTGAATTTTCTTTTCTGAGGATAGAAAGAGATTGAAAACTAGCCTAGAAATAAGATTTTTGACTCTGGAATCTAATAATTTCAAACCCTAAATATTGAAATCAAAATTAAATGCGTCAAAGAGAAGAATAGTTTTTTGATTAAAAACAAATGGCACTAGAATATAATGTATTTCGAAAAAAGTTCATTAATTACTTTCAAGTCTAGCACAGTTTTTAAAATACAGTATCACCAGAAATATGTCGGTAGGCAAACCATATTAAATTAAAAAAATATGTACAGGGTGGAATTTTTAAATGGAATAAATTCAGTATCAGAAAGCCTGTGTATTTTCTGGAAAAATAAAAAAAAAACGGGTCCCTTTATTTTTAGTTTGGCACATTTTTTCGGCCTTTTCATGAAATTTACCTTTCCCTTAAGGGTAGAAACCACCTCCAACTTTTTTTTTTCAAATGTAAAGATATGTATTGTGCTAGCTCGTTGGAATGGGCATAAAAAAGGGAAAATAACGCATTATTTACTTATGCATTTCGGTGATCCACATCATTTTTTTACAGTTAAAATTGTTGAATATCCTCAGCATTTCTTCTTGGTAGAAATCTAATGCGAAACAAGCCCCATTTGTAACGTGTAATTATTTCTGACGTTAACACACTATTTGATGCCTGATACTCGGATTCTCAACCCTAAAATAGTGTGTTAATGTCAAAAATAATCACATAACTAGACCACCGAAATGCAAGAGTTAATAATGGGTCATATCCCTTTGTTTTATGCCCATTCCAATGAGCTATCACAATACATATCTTACATTTGAAAAAAAAAAGTAAGGGGTGGTTTCTACCCTTAAGAGAGGGATAAATTCCATAAAAAGGCCGAAAAAATGTGCCAAACTAAAAATAAAGGGACCCGATTTTTTTATTTTTCCAGAATTTAAACAGGCTTTCTGATACTGAATTTATTCCATTTAAACATTCCACCCAGTATATTAAAGTATGTTTCAAAAGTCTGGGAACGGTCAGATATTTCCAGAGCGGCTTGAAATAGAATTACGAAATTTTCTGCAAATGAGTAGTTATTGATGCCCGATTCAATTTCGTAATCAAGCCGTTGTAGAAATTATTTGACCATTGCCAGACCTTTGAACAAAAAGGTTGTGTTGCCATGTTCCAGAAATCGCGTAAAAAGGGGATATTATATCTGGAGGTTTCACTAACAATAGAGCATCGAATTTATTGCAATGAAAATAAAGTGGTATTTCTATTTGGAAAACCGAAGTTACCTACATTATCTGAAAACAGGTAAACTTCGCAACATTGTCGATGCCATCATTGAATCGAACATCATTAATTACCCATATGCAGAAAATTTCGTAATTCTATTTCAAGCCGCTCTGGAAATATTTGTCCGTTCCCAGACTTTTGAAACATACTGTATATTTCTTACCTATATACTTATCGAGGTTAAGAGATAGAAATACAATTTCGGTTTTATCATATTGCATCAATTTGACTTTGCGCCCGCATAGATTTTATCGTCATTGGAAAGGTAAAAGGTCTAAAGCGACATATTGGTAGGTTTCCAGGGGAAGGTTTTAAAGATAAAATTTTGAAAAAAAAAAAATCATAACAAATTGCTTAGTAAATTATTATTATGTTTGAATTGACTATCAGATATTGATTTTTTTTAGAAAATTGTTAAGCCAGCTAAGTGATCAGAATGCTATAAAACTTAGACAGATCGATGCAGAAAAAAAAGGTGTTTTAGGCATCTTTATAACTCATTTTTCCTTGGAGTGGCGCTTTAGACCTTTTACCTTTCCAATGACGTTATGTTCTCTGAAAGAAGTTGTTCAAAATACACTATAGGAAATAATACAGGGTGGGGCTCGCAAAACTTCCCACCCAGGTTTTCTAAGGTGTTGGGTGATTAATAGAAAATTGCTCGGAAACGTCATTTTTTGTTTTTTGGGGGACATCTTTTATTGGTATTTTCACCCCACCGGTCAACCCCTAAGCGGGGATGACAGGTACCCCCAAAATTTCAATTCGAAAGGGGGCCGAGTGATACGACATTTGATAGCTCTGTTGTTTTGTTATTATGTGGTAGAAACCACACAGTTCAGATACTCGGAAAAAAGCATTTTTCCTAACTTTGACAAGCCACCATTTCGGCAGGGTAAATGGTAGCAACTTAAAACTTGGAGGATATAATCCTAATAAAAATATCTACCAAATGACGTATCACTTGACCCCCCTTTCCTATTCAAATTTTGGGGGTATCTGTCACCCCCGCTTAGGGGTTGACAGGTAGTGGGCAAAAAATGTGTCCCCAAAAAAACAAAAATTGACGTGTCCGAGCGAAATTTGATTAAACACCGAACACCTGAGGAAACCTAGGTGAGAAGCTTTTCGTGCCCCACCCTGTATATTAAATTATACATAGGTACTTATATAAGAATAGAACAAGCGTTCTAAGTTCCAATATCCCTCCTTAACTTGAAGCTATAAAATAATATTTATTTTTGTCGCTGGCCAAGTTATGGCATTCTTGTTGCTAGGGACGAAAACATCGAGAGTTGCATTTTCACGTGGAAAGCAGAAATATCTATTTTGGTTAACAATGAAAAAGGGTCATAAAATAGTATTGGTTCCTGGTTCACTGGTTGGTAGGTTAAGTTGGCTAAGCGCCAACTTAAAATGAACATTAAATTTCCTCTTCTGGTCGCCTAGCAAGGGGCGCGCTTTTATAATCGCGCAGATGTTGATCAGTATTACTTTGATATTGCTAAGTGATTATACATACAAGCTTAGATACCTACACTCTGATGAGCTAAATAAACATTGTCCGGATTGAAGGCAATGCATAATTTTTTTTTTTAAGTGACATCCGGTGTTCTGATCTTGATCAGTAAAGATCCTCGAGAAGAATCCTCAGTGAAAATTTTTGTTGTTTGTTGCAGGTCGAAACTACCACTCAAACAGTCTCTCCTGCGTTTAGTTCGACAAATCTCACATGGCCAAATAGTCCCGGATCTGATACCGAGTCCTCGGAGGGTGATTGTTGGGGTACAGCATGTTCAAAAAAAGGAATTTGGCCAATCCATGGCAAGTCGAATTCGGCTCCGGTATTAGAAAAAGCATCTTCTTCGAGTCAAGTAAGTAGAACAACTTTTTTATTTTAAATTTAAATAATTTATGTGCAGCAATGAAGTTCAATGGCGAATAAAAGCTAAGCCTAATCCTCGCATATTGTGAAAATTTACTTGCCTTTTTTTATTGGGTCATACTTTTATGTTTAATGGTAATCATTCTGAATAATTCAAAATCCAAAACAAAATTATATTATATATTTGTACCGTTTCTCTAAATTTTCAATTTTTCAATTATTTGGTTCGTTTAGTTCGAATTCATTCGAGTACATTTCGTATACGAAATTTGATTGACAGCAATGTAAATTAAATGGGGAGCATTCGAAATCGTATCAAATTTCGTATACGAAAATATTCGAAAATACGACCCCAGGACTGTATCGGCAACTACAATTTACTTATTTGGTTTTACGAGCGATTAGTATAAATTTAACTGAACGGTTTTCTGCTCTCTGGCAGGACGAATTTTTCCTGCCGTGATTGAGGTTCTTGAAGTGTGGCGACAAAAATAGCCTGGCCAATCAGAGGCATACGAAAAGTCGGACAAAAAATAACACGACAAATAATAAAATGATAAATTCCAATCAAATGGTCAATAGACAATTTACCCTTTACCAACATAAAAGTATTTAAATTATATACATCGAAACAGAGGCGTTTCGGGGTATTTTAAGGTCGATTTAAAAAAAACGCTCGGACACGTCAATTTTGTATTCAAGGCGGAAACTTTTTGATCCCATCGGTATTTCGCTAGGGTGCACCCCGTGGGTGGGGTGACTTTCACCCCTCTTTTTTAAATAGGGAAGATGGGTCGAGTGGTACTTTGTTTTAAAGGTATTTTGATTCTCGTCACAACTGGGTACTTTTTCTGAAAATCGGATGATTGGTTCTCAAGATATTTACTGCCAAATTTGCCATAGGCAATAGGAAACAATCTTCTAGCCCTGTTATTTTCTAATTTCCACTTTCCTGACTTTCCTTTCGGACACGTCAATTTATTTTAATTTTCTCGGTAGCACACAAAAAAAGAAAATTGACGTGTCCGAGCGGAAAGTCAGGAACGTGTTAGTTTGAAAATAACAGAGCCAGAAGATTGTTTCCTATTTAGCCCATGGCAGCTTTGACAGTGAATATCTTGGAAACTAATCATTCGATTTTCAAAAAAAGTACACGAGAATCGAAATACCTTTGAAACAAGGTACCACTCGATCCATCAAACGACGTGTCGACGCATTTTTTTTTTAAATCGACTCTAAAATACCCTAAAACGCCTCTGTTTCGATGTTCGTCAAACACCCCTTGCTATAGCTACCTATATATTTTTTCCTCCATTTTAGAACAATTTCGTGTTTTTGGTGCAGTGTATCTCTAATGACAAATTATAAATAATTAAAAAAATATATACCTACTTATTTAAAATAAAATATGATTCCTAAAACACTATTTGGAAACAAAGCAAATTAACTCGATTTATTGCATGTGTGTTAATTAACTGCCCATGTTATGTACTCGTATTTCTAATTCCGTGCTTTTCAAGATTCTGAAAAAATAATAATTCCTATACCTAATTCAAGTCGAAAAAAATATGTCAATTTGGAAACATGCCACAAAACAAGTCAACTATCATTTTGAGGAGTTTATCTGCTGCAATAGTCAACTCTTCCTTTTCAACCCCCTAAAAAATATCTTGAACGGAAAAAGGGTTCAAGTGATAAATTGTTTCAAAGGCCTTTCGGTCCTTATTAAAACTGCCAAATTTGAAGTCTCTGCTCTCTGATGTCACCCTCTTTCATAATATGTCAAAATTTCGAAGAAAGTGTGTATTTCTGGTAAGTGATAAATCGCGAAAGTTAGCGACTTCAAACCTGGTCGGTCTGAAAATTTAAATTCTTCACTCTGATATCCTTCTGCCATGCGAAATTTATTATAATGGTTTCCGCTGACCCTCATAGGTTGGTTTGAAGTCACTAATTTTTGTGTTTCATCAACTAAAAAAAAAACTTTCTTTAAGATTTTGACAAGCTGTCACATCAAAGGGGGTAACAGCAGTGACTTCAAACTGGTCTGTTTTAGTATAGGGTCCGAAAGATATTTGAAATGATGTATCATCCCCCCTTTGCATTTGATATTTTTTAGGGGGCGAGTCTTGGAGATAGAAAGTCGAAAGGGAGACGAATTTTCCATCAAAACTCATCCCTTTCCAAATTATAACGGGTCTTCAGAAAAAAACTAAATCAAAGACTGCTTTGATTACTAAAACGTAGGTACGTCGCCTAGGTTTCCATAAATAATGAAATGAAAATCCAAAAACTTCAATTTCTCGATTACAACACAACAACAAATTAATTTATCTAGTGGAACTTGGAATTATTATGCATACCGACTATTATTATAGGCTCTTCCAAAAGCTTTATTTTTATTTGTTTTTGTTCATGACATCAGTCAAATGACAAATCGAGATGCCGTGAGTTCATCTTGAAACACTGAGAGCTTGGAGCATCTTTCATCTTTTTTTTCCTTTTGATGAGAAGAACAGGGATAAAAAAACTTTCATAGCCATATTTGATTTAAGTATGTTTTTTTTTTTGAAAACCCGTTAGTAGAAGGGGATTTTTTATAAAATTTCCCATTGTTGAGATAATGGAAGTGGAAAATTTTCGACGTCAACCATCGGGATCTTGAAAACGGTACGAATAGAAGCGTCTTCAGCTCTATGCAGATTTCTATTCTCTTTGTTGCCTCAAGCTGTTGTGCCTATTTTAAATAGTTTTTGAGCAAATCCAATATTCATTTCATTAAACTACCGGTAAATAGCTGCAATACTACTTGCTAGTTATTAACGGAAGATATCCGCTGGATAGAAGAAGGTACCTATTCCATACTACAGTAATATGCCCAGCTCTTCTTTTTCAATAGGTAATCATTTTGTTAGAACCAACACCAGAAAATGTAAGCCTTGATATCTGATTAAATAATTCCAAGTAAACAGAATCACAGTAAAAATGGGTATTTTTAAATCTATTGTTACAATATGTACTGTTGATGTTATCAACGGTCAAAATAACCACACATAATTTTTAAACGTTATCAACAATTGGCAGTCGCAATCACGAATAATTATTTTCGAATCTCAAGACTTTGTTATCTGGCCACGCATAATTTATTAACACTGACAAGTAATTAAGCCATTAATTTAATTTATGTAAAAAATAAATGGTAATAACACAAGTCTTTCAAGAAATCTGAACAATAATAATAACACGTGTTAATGCAATAGCCTCTAGCACTAGTACTCGTGCGTCACCGACACGTGTCACACTCTGATGATGAATCGACGACGAAAAAATTAGTATATGTCTGCGTGACTAATGGCATAAGTATATGACGGACTCATAATAATAAAAAATTATCGCAAATTCAATTTTAAATAAATTCCTTGGCTTCGGAAATACCCTGCGATCTTTTTGGAGTGTTGCAATATAGTGCTATTAATTTGATTTATCTTACAAATAAATGTTAACACAAGCCATTCAGAAATCTCAACAATTTATTTATCAAGTATAAATGGACAAGGTTACTATAGAAATAAAACGTGTTAATGCAATACCCTCTAGCACTGATACTCGTGTGTCACCGACTCGTGTCACACTTCTGATGATCGGTCGACGATGAAAATATCAATACGTCTACGTGACTACTGGCATGAGTATATGACGGACTTATATTAATAAAAAATTATCGCAAATTCGATTTTAAATAAATTGCTTGGCTTCGGAAATAACCTACGACCTTTTTGGAGTGTTGGTGTTGCAATATACTGCTATACATAGCAACTTAATTGGCAAATACCACTTCTATTCTATCGAGTTATTTTACTAAATTATTATTGAAACTGACCTATTACTTTAAATTAACTTCAACAATGTACTTTAGATAAATTAGGAATATTATAATAGTTGTTTTGATTTTCCAATCGCAGCGTTTAAGGAATTTTTAACAAATTGACTCACGATTTCGAGTATGTTTACCTTATATAGGAAAGTTTTTTTTTTTCGAGTGAAATTATAGAGTTTTAGCATTAGCGAACATGAAAGAATTAAAAACCTAATTTCGTTCAAAGGTCAATTTTTTATAAAAATTGGTACACCTGTTTTGTTTATCATATCTTCCACCACAAATGCGAAAAAAATTAGTCAGTGGGATTGGATTCTTCATAAATAGGTAACTATCAGAAAACCTATTGACAATTCAAGCAGTATCTACCTTTTTCTGAAAATATTTCACCATTATAAATGGCGATTTCAATGTCGAGTTTGGACTGAAACAAGACACCTTACTCAACTTTCTGTTAGAGAACGATCAGTTTCAAATGAGAGCGTTTTCTATAAGAAACGCCATTTTCTATAAGAAACACCATATAGAAGATGGACCTAGAAGAGCCTGGATGAGAAAACGAAAAATGAAATAGATTACTTCATATCATAGGACGTCACAGTACTGAATTAATTCACAACAGCTTACACATAAGAAAGGGTATAAAGTAGATCTTCAGATTTACCGGCCTTTTAGTTTTTAGAGGCATATGTATAAGCTATATACACGAATTATTGAAACTCTTATAGAAAAGAGTATTATTACAGTCACCCCTGAGCTCTTTTATTTGTTGACTTCCGTATGGCATAATGGCCTTCAATGCAGTAGAGCTACCAATAATTGTAACAGGTTTACAACAATGTAGAATATAGATCACAGACCAATATTGTCAAAGATATCTACTCGAAGGCGACAACAATGGTCAGGCAATGAAGTCAGGTAGGGCGATACACTGTCACCGAAAATGTGCATCACTCACTTTCAAACAACCACACTGGCGACATAAAAGTGTTGCAGTCGAGGGCATCACCTTCGTTTCGCAGTTGATATGGTCCTCATCTCAGACAATTTTGAAGAAGTTACAGAAATATTTCGGGAGCTGCAGGAGGCAACGTAAGAAGTTGCACTCCACATAAATATCAATAGGGCAAATATAATGACTAACATGATGGCCAGCCAACCAATTTAGAATAAATATGTGTGTGGACAAATCCTGGGACATGAAATCAGAATAGAAGGAATAACCAAACATTTGAATCAATTAAAAGAATTAGGGATGGGCAGCATTTGCAAAAAGGGAAGGTGTTTTTTAGGCGGAAATTCAAGTAATCTTGAAAAGAAAGGCGATTGTGACTCTCACAGAAGCATTGATAAAAAAAAACTAAGTGTGGCACAGTGAAAAATAGAAAGATCAATGCTTGGCTTAAGTCTTAGAGATTGAGTGAGAAATGAGGAGATACGAAGAAAATTGAAGCTGACCGATGTTGTTAACTTCATCGCTAACAGGAGCACAGTTCTTAGGAGTAGTTTAGAAGAACAATTATTGTTATTCGGCTGGATCTGGAATTAACCAGACATTGTACCTCCAAAGTTTTTCTGCAATTTCAAGTTCAAAAAATCTTCAGCGATGTCACGACATTATGACCTTCGACGTTTTTGCGGCAACGTTTCAGTGAAAAATCTTCAATATAGATTACGCTTATTTCGCACAGCTAATCCGACTCAATAATTATTTTCGATTGCCTCAATTGAGTATGGGATTGAGAATTCTGAAATAAACACTGCCTAAGCCAATATTTATCTGGATTATTATTTAAAGTTAATCCTTTAAGCTAGTACTTACGATTGTATTAAAATTTTAAATCAGTGGTGCAAACCCCTAAATCCGGAGTAACTGTTTTAGGATATGTGTGTCTTGAATTCTGTATTTTTGAATACAGATAAGCTTGCTGAAAAATTTTCTTCAAAAATTAAAATAATCCCATGCACCAAAATTAAAATAATCCACATATTCTTCCTTTCCACCTTTAGTTAAGGACAATAATGACATTTTAGTATCGTCAAAGGAGAAAGCAGATCTCTTTGCCGAACAATTTGCATCCAATTCCACGATGGAGGACAATGGCAGAACGCCACAGGCACTGCCACACATTGGTACTTACATGGACAATATTTTATCTAGACGCAAAACTATTGGGAAAATTCTTCTGCAACTTGACACTGGAAAATCTTGTTGTCCCAACAGCATTTCACCAATTGTCCTCAAAACTTGCGCACAAGAATTTGGCTTCAGTTCTTTGCAAATTATTTTCACTCTCTTACAGTCGTGGTGTTTTCCTGTCTATCTGGAAACGTTTCAAAGTCCAGCTTATCCCGAAAAAGGGCAAGAAAACTCTTCCTAGTAGTTATCGTCCTATCTCATTTATATCCGTACTTTCGAAAGTAATGGGAAAGGCAGTCAACCTGGAACTAGTTGAATACCTACCTCGAAACCAATAAGCTCATCTCTGACAAACAGTACGGGTTTCGTTCTAAAAGATCAACAAGGGGTCTGGTGATGTACGTCAACCATATTTGGTACTCGACTCTCGACAAATATGGCGAATCTAGAATTGTAGCATTGGACATCTCCAAGCATTTTGATCAGGTTTAGTCTTCCTGGCAAACTTGCCTCGTAGGGTCTTCCGAACGAATTTTGCCATTGGCTGGAGAGCTTTTTGGAAGGCATGTTGTGGTTGATGGTGTGTCTTCTCATACACTGCCTATAAATGCCGGCGTGGCCCAACACTGTTTCTCATTTTTATAATTGATTTGTTTAATGTGACAAGAAACCCCCATATGCCGCTTTGCGGACGATAGTAGCTTGATGGCCTCTTTCTCGTCTGACAAACCGCTTACTGCAACCACTTCCACCCATATACCGCTTGGCGCTGCTTGATGGCAACTTTCTCGTCTGACAAACCGCTTACTGCAGCCACTTCCACCCATATACCGCTTTGCGGGCGATAGTAGCTTGACGGCATCTTTCTCGTCTGACAAACCGCTCACTTCAACCGCTTCCACACGCCGCGCCCGAGAACAGATTCACTCCAGCGACAGTGATCTTGACACCATTACCAACTGGTACCTTGACAACTTAGTAAAATTTGATGCTTCCAAAATTCCAGCAGTCAGTCCTAGGGATGTCGATTAAAACTTCAAAATCGTCCAACTTGTCTTGTTATGTATCTTCAATCGCCAAAACCGCTTCTCAAAAATTAGGTTTTATATTCCGTGCATAAGACTTCTTTACTTCTAAACAACTTTTATGAGACTCAAATAATCAGATCATGTATGGAATACTTTTCCCACATCTGAATAAGCTATGCTCCCAAGCATTCGTTGGCTCTATTAGATGCAGTATAAAGGAGAGCAATAATAATCATCGATAACTCTTACCGATTCATTGCAATTTCTCGAACATGGCTACCCTGAGGCCCCCTAAATATAGGGCTTCGTTCTGATGGCGTACAGCCCACCTCTGGAACTTCCTGCCTACTTCATTTCCTGAACGATTTAGCCTTAGTTCCAACGCAGGGTTAATCAGCACCTAATTTCTTCCGCTCATAGTACTGCTTAGGTAGTATAGACTTTGTCTCTTATGAGCGGACCAATTAAAAAAAACAAAAAACTTAATTAGGTGTAGGTATGTACTCTCTTTGTATGGCTCAAAAAAATATACACTTCATTACGCATTTTATGCGAACCCAATCGACTCTGATATGGATTAAATATAAATTAAGTCCAAATTTTGGGCTTGGTATAAACACTTCAGGAATTAGATTAAATTTTATTTCCGATTGGAAATTAATCCGGATTAGCCGCGTGAAATAAATTTAGTCGCAGTGATGTTTGTTTCTCATATTCATTCATTGAGTTGGATAAATTTAGCAACATTTCCCAATGAATGAAAATGTTTTCAAACCTTACAAGAATGTAGGCCATGAAAGGCTGGTTATAGAAATTAAAAACTTGTAAAACGATTCACAAAATAGTATATTGTGTATTTAGGTGGAAAAGTGACACATTCTCGGCCGACGGTGTAAGTTGACGCAAACACCGAAGGAAGGAGAATGTGCTTTTCCACGGAAATACACATACTATTTTTTCTGCGATGGGTTAAATATCTGTTAAATGTTTGTCTTTTTGTTCCAATTATTCAGCAGTACGAGAATCACTTTCACGGCCTAGGCCGAAAAAGTAATTCCCGTATTGTTATTCATTGATTCCTTAGCAACTATTGGAACATAATTAAAATACCAGTATATTGAGCTTTGCGACCTGTCAACCGGTCAAAATTGCTGACATTTCTTTTCAATCGCAGAAAAAAAATATTTTCAACTTACATCGCGAACTATGTAGTACGTATCTAATTACTTGCTCGAAAAAACTTTGCTCAAAGTCAGCTTAGATAATTATTTATCTGGAATTTTTTAGAGATACATGTTAGAAACAAATTAGTGACATGTCCTTTTCTATTCAAATTCAACAATTCTTTAATTTTCCTATTCGTGTTTTTTTTTTTCTAATTTTTGATTTTCCTAACACCCTTCCATGTTTCTGTTTTATTTGTTTTCAACATGGTTCTTAGATTTGTTTGAAGTTGGCACAACTTTTGCAATTTAGTCCTGAAGGTTGATTGTAGTTTAACTTTTTATTTTCAACAAGGTTTCGGACGAAATAGAGAATAATTGACTCTTTCATTGAAATATTTTCAATGTTAGATCATTACCTCTAACTATATGACAGACAAACAAACGAATCCATCAATGTTAAAGATTCTTGTGCTGTAAAAATACCAAAAAACCAAATAATATCTATAATACTTATTGTTATAAACTATTCACATTTTAACCATAAAAATTCAACACAGGAAGCACAATTAAATACCATAAAAAAAAGCAAGTAGATTCAATTAGAGTTCGACGAAAGTGTTATCTCGAACCATTGAAATAAAGCCGCAGCAGTAAAGTCTTCGGCAGCAAAGCTGTATTGGCATCAGCAGCATATGAGCCGCCCCGTGCCGATACCGATGGTATGTTATGTATATATTACAATCACGCGTGTGTATAGTCATCGCCTTTGAACTTCAGGCTGTTAATAGCAGATGGCCGGCCATGCATAATTGATCTGCTATAATTTCAGGTGAGCAAGCAGTCCCGATCACAGTCCGATCGACATATAGCCGGTGAGTAGTTCAAAACGTTTTTTTTTAAAAAATTTTAACCAAACAAAGGACAGAAGTATGTCCATTCGGGTCAAAGAGTACAAGTTTTTCCGTAGTCTTAGTGTTAAAGTTAACGATAATTGGCCGGTACGAAAGGCTGAACAACTATGGAAACTTTTGCGGACTACTAAAATTGCAGGTTCGGTAATTTTGGTCCCCAAATCCTGAACCCAATTATAGGCATGAAAGTTTATGAACTTCGACCCAGAAGCAAAAAGGATTGGCATCGTAGCGCCTTTCCGACATTTTTCCTGGAATACGTACCTATATTATTTTTCATGTCCCTACTTTTTATTCGGAAATAATAGATAAGAATATCTTTCCTAGGAACCAAGAACATTTTCCTCTATTCTGAAGCGAAGGCAAAATATTTTAGTATCGCCTAACTTCAACTTTTTTTCGAATTAAATTAAACCACATTTTCGAAACCTGCATTTTTTTATGTCCGGAAAGCAAACGGACTGATATCAAGTCTCGTTTTATCGAAATCACAAAACTGTTTTTTTTTGTTATATTCCAAAAACTGAGAAATCATAATATCAGCCAAAGCCGTTATTCAATATTTCAAAAATAGAGTAAATAGAGAAACTGTTTTTTTTTATTCAAAACAACATTTTGGCACATTCAATTATCCAAAAAAGTATGGCAAAAACAGATTACTATAATGGAACTAGTTCCATTAAAATAAAATTTGAAAAAAAAATTGCAAATATTGCATCTCTCATCCATCTGAGAACAAAGAATATAGGACTGTTTTTTATCAAAATAAATTTTAAAAAAAAACAAATACCTATGTACATACTAAATTTTTCAATACTCCGGAAGCAGGGACAAATTTCATTAAAGTAAAATTAGGGAAAACATCCTATTTTCAAATATGTGGAATGCCTAAAAACTGCAATTGGTTCTCAAGTAAAATTAACTTTTGAAATTTAGCCTCGATTATCCGAAACACAGTATATATTTTTTTTTTCGCCTGACAGCATCCCTTTCTTATTTCATCGTTTTGCTCGCATTTGCTCTAACAAAAGTATATCTGGAAAACTCTTCTCCATTTTTATTTTTCAAAGTTATGCATTTGTGAAACTAAAGTAGTGAGGTCAGAATTTAAGCAATCAAATTAAACGAACGACAAAATAGTGAATTTATTTTCGAACACTCAAACGTGATGTAAAGACACATCCTCTGGCTTGGTGTGGTAAGAACTGGTGCAATCATTGGTATAGTAGAAAGTTTTAGTTTAAACTAGCATAAGAGAAGCACTTGAACTCAAAATATACGTTTTGTTCATCTGGTTCAGGTCATTATGGCTCTTTGCGTCGCCTAAGTCTATTTGCTGATTTGTATGTACTACGTCGTTTTCATTGAATGAGTCATTACAGGCTGGATGTATATATTGAATATATTCGTTTTTATATTGGATTCCTCAGGAAAGTTGTCAATTGGATTCGATCTTGTTCCTGGTAACTCTATCCATAAACCTCACTACTAGTCCAGGCAATGGGTATTTTTTTGCGAGAAAAAAATAGTATAGTTTTTAACAGTTTGTTCAGATGGACATAGTGAGTCGGAATCTGCAATTTTGCAGCAGATTAGGGGGTGAGTTCGCTGAATGGGGGTGGTTTTTTGAAAAAAATACAGTTGTGGTAGAACGCTGCTAATACGGCTTAATGAAAATGATTTTTATTTTTTTGATAAAATTCTTTAGGGTATGGCGATTAAAAAACTGCGCGACAGCCCTATTCTATCTTCTATAGTTAACGCCCTAGAGCGCGTTTGTGTAACATGGGATCGACCGCGCGTTATAAAACGGCTTCCACAGAAATTACCATGCATAAATTTAAAAAAAACCAAAAATACATTTAAATGCAGAAAACTATGAGCTATCAAATAGAGAAAAAAAATTGATCTGAGCCTTATAGTTTTTTGTAAAAAAAAATTGTTTCTAAACTTAGCAAGTTTTGTTGAATTTTACAAAAAAGTTGAACTTTAATAATTTGTAAAATCGTTAATTTTAAAGTTATTGGACCACTCAAAAAACGCACTTATGGCAAATTTATTCAAAATTTAGATAGTTTTAGAATAATTAAAATTGGATAATCCGTTCTTTCTCTGATGCACGAAACGTAACATGGGACGGCGAGGTCAATTTCAAGGTCCCACCCCTTACTTTAACGCGCTCTAGGGCGTTAACTATAAAAGATAGAATACGGCTGTCGCGCAGTTTTTTAATCACCATACCCTAAAGAATTTTCGTTAAGCCGTATTAGCAGCGTTCTACCACAACTATCATTTTTTTCAAAAAACCACCCCCATTCAGCGAGCCCACCCCCTAATCTGCTGCAAAATGAGATTCCGACTCACTATGTCCATCTGAACAAACTGTCAAAATTTAAAAACTATACTATTTTTTCTCGCAAACCACCTTTTTTTTGCTTCATTGCCTGGACTATACGTACTTTAGGCTTTATTATTTCAACTGCGATGCCGTTCTTTCTGGGTTTTTTCTGTTTTATCTCGATTGACGTACGTCTGGCCATGAGACACAACGTTCATGTTGTTTTCATCAAATATGTCGACAGGGGTATGACTCCTCTGTGACTAGAGTCCTAGTAGAATCACTCTGCAATTTTAGTTATTTCTCGCTTGTCTTCTGTTAGATTTCCATTCAAGTGTCTCAGTTTACCCATTTTTGCACGCCCAGTAGTGTTGATCGTTTTCAGGATTTTGATATTTTAGTTCTTATTATTCCCTATTATCGTATTTATTTCTTCTTGTTCAGATTTTCCCATACTAGACGTTGTTTGGCGTCCTTTCACGAAAAGGCTATTTTCATGTGATGACTGAACGCGAAGTTTTCCTGATTAAGTTCCCATTGGTATTTTTGAATGTTATTTCGTTAACGTGTGGCGGTGAGAAATGTTGTTTTATTTGTTTAGTTCTTTCCAGGTTGATATTGAATTTTATTATGGCTCTTAGTACCTTTTCTATATCCTTTCTTCCTGGTCGTTCCCTATCCCTATCCCCTGGATATAGGCCTCTCTGAGATTTTGCCATGTATTTCTAATCTCCGCACTGGTACCAGTTTAGTCCTGCTGTTCGCTTGATGTCGTACCAGCGTTGTTAAGGTCTTCCGACGCTTCTTCGTTCCTTCCAGGGCCTCCATCTTGTTTCTTTTCCGCTCCAGTTGTTGCTTGTGTTTTTTACTATGTGGCTGACCAAGTTCAATGTGAGCGTGCATATTCTATGTGTAATGTCTTGGACCATTGTTGTATTTCTTATCTACTTGTTGGTCTTGTAATCTCTTAGTGTTATACCTATCATTTTCCTTTCGATTACTCTCTGATGTACTTGCAGCTTACTTGGAATTTTCTTTGTGAAAGTCCATGTTTCGCTTCCATAGGCAACTACTCAGGCAGAATACATTCGTTGTAAACTTTAGTTTTCAGCTTCAAAGGTAATTTAAATCAGAATATGTTTTGCATTTTACCATACGCCGCCCATCCCAGTCGTATTCTCCTAATAATTTCAAGCTCTTTGATTGAGTTTGCTAAGCGGTATTTCCTGTCCTATAGATACTTGTAGGAGTTTACTTTTTTGCGTCTGATGGTTTTCTATGGTTTTTGTGTCCCTATCTATTTGCACATTTCTCATAAACTCTGTTTTTGATACGTTCATTTATCTTCTTGGTTTTTTGAAGTAATTCTTTCAGCAGGATTGCTAAGTCTGTTTCGTTCGGGGCGAATATTACGATGTCATCAGCGAATCTTAAGTTATTGAGGTTTTCTCATGATATATTGATCCGTCTATTTTCCCAATGAAGTTCCTTGATCACATCTTCAAGGACTAGGGTGAACAGCTTAGGTGATATTATATCCCTTGTCTTACGCCTCTTTCAATCTTCACTTCGTTTGCATCTTTATGCATTCTTAATTTTATTATGTTCATATATCGCTAATCTATTCGTGCATTTCTCATGGCTCTTTCTCTCACCCAGAATTCGACACTGTCGAAGAAGGCTTTCCTAAAAGCGATTAATGTTAGCCATGCTGTTATGTCATATTGGGTCGTTTTTTTTATTTAGTATTTTTATTGTGTAGAGATGTTCTATAGTGCTGTAGCTCTCCCTATAGCCTGTTTGTTCTTAAGGTCGGTAATCATCGAATTTCGTAATTATTCTCATAAAGAGTTTGTATATCTGAGACAGGCTTATGGGTCTATAGTTTTCAATATTTGTTGGGTCTTTTTTTTGTATATCAGAATGACGATGGAATCAGTTCACCGGTTAGACCGGGAGTTGGACGGATATGATGAGTATGCAAAATGTGAGGACCGGCAAAAATGCTCAAATTCGTATTCCTGTGATCCTAAATAATTGGAAAGTACATCTTGCCGGCAGCTGCAGTGGTCCCTAACTCTCCTGCCATCCCCCAATGCAAAGTTATATGGAAAATATCACAATTTCAAGTCATTCCACAATAATTCCTATTGATTGTACCTAAGGCTTTCTTTTCAAGCACTCAAAATAAATTACCTACCACTTGTCGGATATCTCTGCAATTCTGCTTCAAAATATAAACAAGTAAAAGAAAACTGCGAGATGTACAGGGTCATTCAACGACGACTGAACAGGGGCTTATTTTTGACCTTCCCTGTTCCTGTAGTTTTGAAAAAATTCAAAATAGCCAATTGGCAGATTTTTTTCCTAGGGAATTCAAAAATGGTACAAAAAAATTATTTGAACCAAAAACCATAGAGTTACGCCATGGGTGAACTGTTTTTGAAATGAAACACCCTGTTTTTGTATGCTTTTTGGAAAAGTCGCATTTTTTACGTCTATTCTGTTGAAAATATTCGATATTCCGCTGTTTTCATTCTATTTTCATGTAAGAAAGTAAGCAGTTTTATGCTTAATAAGTTTAGCTTTTCCTTTTCAATTTAATAGGTTCATAGGTGATAGA